CTGTTATGACATAAGAAACTGTAATTTTTTTCCACTATGATCAAGAACAGAGTAAGGAGTTTCTCGTCTCACCATTACTTTTTAATATTTACTGGAAGTCCTAAATAAGAAGACCAGTAAAGTATATAAAATGCATACTCATTGTGATGGAAGTAATAAAACTGTTTGCCCAAAGATGACATGATTGTTTGGGCACAAAATCTGACAGAATCAACAAAAATAACTGGAGCTGATAAGCAATTATTGCAAGGCTGAAGAATACAAAGTTAATATACAAAAATTAATCACTGTCCTATAAAATATCAGTCAACAAGTGAAATTGGAAAGTAAAAGCACAATACTTTTTATACTATTATTCCCCCAGATAACATATTTATGTAAAATTCTAAGAAGATATATACAAGATCCATATGAAAAAACTACAACATTCTGATAAAAGAAATCAAAGAACAAAAAATGGAGGATTAACATGTTCATGAATTAAAAGGCTCAGTGCTCTCAAAATGTCAGTCTTGCCAACTTGATCTACAGATTCAATCCAAATCACAATAAAAATCCAGGCAAAAATCCCCAGCATTGCAAAAAACTCCTTATATTATTCTGTGAATATAAAATAATTGGTTTTAAAGTTTATATGGAGAAGCAAAAGACCTACAATATCTAACACAGTTTTGAAGAACCACATTGGAGGTCTAACACCCCATTACTTCAACATTTACTATAAAGCTACAATAATCAAGACAGTGTCATATGGGTGAAAGAATAGTCAAATAGGGCAATGGAAGAAAGCAGAGAGTCCAGAAAGACAGTCACATACATATAGTCAACACATCTTTTTTATTTTTTTATTTTTCATTTTTTAATTTTTTTTCCGATACTGGGAATTGTACTCATGACATCGCGCTTGCCAGGCAGGCAATGTGCTGCTGAGCTAAATCCCCAGCCCCCTAGTCATCACATCTTTGATGGAGGAGTAAACACAAAATAATTGAGAAAGAGCTCTTTAACAAATAATACTGGATAACTGGGCACTAATATTCAGTAAAAGAATTTTATACACAAGCCTTACACCCTTTATAAAAATTAACTCAAAATGAATCACAGACCTAAATGTAAAACCCAAAACTATAAAACTTCTAGAAGATAACATAGGTAAAAATTGAAATGACTTGGGTTTGTTGATGATTTTTTAGGTAGGATACCAAAGGCAGTATTCATGAATGAAAGAATAAGCTGGATTTTATTAAAATTAAAAATTGCTACTCTACAAAAGACACTACAAAAAGTATTAAAAGAGAAACTACATATTGGGAAAACTACTTGCAAATGATACATAGGATAAAGGCCTGCTGGACCCAGTGCTTCTTGCTTTGGAAGGTTATTGTTTCAAAATATATTAAAAACTTTAAAATCCCACAGTAAAAGACAATCTTGATTAAAAATGGGTCAAAGCTTGGTGTGGTAGTGCACACTCCCAGCACTCTGAGAGGCTGAGGCCAGAGGATTACAAACTGAAGCACATTCTGTGCAATTTAGAATCTTAGAGAGACCCTGTCTCAAAATAAAAAATGGTTAGGGATATAGTTCAGGGCAAAGGCCATGGGTTCAATCACTAGAACAATAAGTCAACCAATCAGGTCAAAGATCTAAATGGACACCTCTAAATGGACAAGAAGATATATGGATGTCATATAAAATATGAAAAGAATTCCATAATATATGCCATCATGGAAATACAAATTACAACAGCATTGATATACTGATACTACTACAGATATTACAAAATGGCTAAACTTTAGAACACTGACTACACCAAATGCTGACAAGCATGTGAGCAACAGAAAGCTCCATTCATTACGGTGACAATGGAAAGTGGTTCAGCCACTTTGGCAGTATCTTATAAAATTAAATATAAAACAGCAGTCTAAACAAAAGTAAGGGTATGATCCAACAGTCCTACATTTTGGTATTTATCCAAATTAATTGAAAGCTTACATCCATACAACCTACATGTGAATGTTTATAGTATCTATATCCATACCTGCCAAATTTTGGATACAACCAAGATGTCCTTTGGTAGGTGAGTGGATAAATAAACTGTGGTACATCTAGGGAATGGAATATCATTCAACACCAAAAAGGAACTATTAAATCATGAAAAGACATGGAATCTTAAATATGTATTACTACCTGCATGTGAAAGAAGCCAATCTGAAAAGGCTACATACTACATAATTTCAAGTATATAACATTCTGGAAAAGGTAAAACTACAAAGATAAAAAATAACACTAGTTACTAGGAGTCAGAGGAAGACAAACAGGTAACTCACAGAGGATTTTAAGGGCAGTGAAAATGTTCTATATAACACTGTAGTGGTGTCATTACATATTCTACCAACCCCACAAACTGTACAACAGGAAGAGTGAATTCTAATAACAACTCTGAGCTTTTGGTAACAGTGATGTGTCAATTGGGCTCATTAACTGTAACAAACATACCATTCTGGTGGAAGATGTTGATATACTAGGAGGTTATGCATGTGTTGGGACAGGAGGTATTTGGGAAATCTCTTAATCATCCTTTCAGTTATGCTGTTAATCTAAAACTGCTGTAAAAAATTAAAGTCTTTACATTATGTGTTTAAATTTAAACTTCACATATTATACGATATATGTCACAAATACTCAGCTCTGCTATTCCAGTTCAAAGCAACCACAGATTATAGGTAAGCAAATGAGCATTAATGTATTCCTATACAGCTTCATTTATAAAAACATTCAGTGTGCCATATTCAGCCCATGAGTATAGTTTACCAAATCTTGCTGTATATACTTGAACTTAGTTTGTCTCCCTAGTTTTTGGCACTCTGTGCTATTCTTTGTATGAGCCAGCCCTATAATAAGCCCTCACCTAGACCTTTGGTACACAAACTACCTTAGAAGATTTAAGCAAAGCTTACCATGTCTAAAAATGTAAGTTATCACTTTTTACCAAAACTGCTCACTACAGCCTGTATAGTAGTGATTGGTAACACTGTTCATATAGGCATTGGTCTGGACTTCTCTCCCTCCTTACCTGCCACTCCTCAACAAATTTTGTCGATCCTCTTCCCAGAACAGTATTACATCTGCCTCCTCTTCTCCCTCTCTTCATTCCCCATCTAGGCCCAGGTCCCTACTATCTCTTGGTTAGACTACTGTAATGTCTTCCAGAAAGACCAGATTACTTGCAGTCCCCCAATTATGCAGTAATGTTTTATGCATCACTGTTACTATATATTTCCTTTTGCCTGGTGCCTGCCCCTTTAACTCCTACTCCTACCTCTTATCTTCTTGTTGAACTCCTACTATACACATTGTGCAAAACCCAGCTGAGACAGTCCCTATCACATTTAACCATTAACTCCTCAAAACTACTTGGTTTAAACAGAATATCCTTGACAGTCCCAATATACATTCTATGAGCCCCAAATTCATGACTTATTAGAATATTAAAGTATCTATATTAGAACTTTAAGGCTTTAATAGTTGGTCTGTTAAATACTGTAACTTAAACTCTTCACTTCAGTAACATCATCACTTTAGTAACAGCAACCTTTAACCTAAGCTGAGAAAAGCTATTATCACTTCAAAAATTTAGGGCTGGGGATTTAGCTCAGCGGCAAAAGCGCCTGCCTGGCAAGTGCAAGGTCGTGAGTTCGGTTCCCGGTACCGGAGAAAAACCAAAAAAAAAAAAAACAACAAAACAAAAATTTATTCCATATATAGCCATAAATCAAGAACAAAGAACAACCTTACAGAAAACCTTGCTCCCGCATAGCAGTCAATGTGAGTCAAACATGTATCTCAGCAAAATTATAATTTCTTTTCCTATAAGAGATCTTTAGAAATCATTAATACTCCATAAATGTCAACATCCTACCATATTTCTTCTACTGTGTCAAAAAAAGCATACTGTTTTGATGAGAATGTGAGCTTCTTGGACATAGTCCACTGTTTTGCCTTTCTTTTTTATACCAAAGTTGACCTAATAGAAAGCAACCATTCCAAAGATGTGTGCTTAATTAAACTGCCTCCTAACTGGTCTCCCTGCTTCCAGGCCATCTCCCTTTCCAAAATCCTGCCAGGTTTCCTTTGTTGTTTGTTTTTGTTTTTGTTTTTATTTTTAATTATTTTTTTTTTTTACAAAAACATATCTCTGATGTCACTCAGTTGCCCCCAAAACATTTGATGGCTGTTTATAACCTCCTTTACAGAATTATGTTCCTGTACTCTAAGAAGGCATAAGAGAGGCTTCACATCTCCTCAGCTTTATTCTGTCTCAACTCCACCCTTTCCTTTTTACACAGGCTCTGTTCACGTCATACTCGTTGTCCCTGGAACACTTCTGGACATTTATTTTTCCATGCCTTTGTAAATGCTGTTTTCTCTATCCAAAAGGACTTACTGGTCTCATCTGCCTAGAAAACTCTTATCAATAAAGCTCAGCTTAAATATCATTACTTTTGTGGCTTTCCCTGGCCCCTTCCAGAATCACTATCTCCCTCATTTATTTTTCTGTACCATTGTGTTTATTCTTAAAATATACTTAGCTAATTCTGCAGGGAGAGTTGAGAGGGAGGGGATTGCTCTCAATGGATTTACCCAGCAGTGACTGCAGCACTACGTGTTAAGCATGTTGCTCAAGTAACCCCGAGAGTATGGGGCTGGATGACCTTTAAGTCACAAGATGCTATGGTATGCATCTCTCAGGCTGTATATGTACTCGTGGGAGTGGGTAGGAAGGGAAAGGAAAAGTGGAGGAGAAACACAGAAAGACAGAGACAGAGAAAACAAAACTGGAGAGAAGAGAGTGGACGCAGTGCAGTAACAGAGGATGGGAGGACCCAAAATTCTTCCGCTTTACAATTTTGCGGAGACCCGGCCGGGCTTCTAGAGCTGAAGGAAAGGATGGGGGGTTGGGGAAGTAATAGGCGGAAAGGGGAGGGACTGCAATTCCTCTGGGTGTGCCCAGCCTAGATTGCCTGACTGATCACCTCCGGTTCTAACAGGGCCAGTTTCTCCACACCGCCGCTCGCGCCTATTGTGTCAGGCAGGGTGGACTCAACAGTGCAGCCCCACAGGTGGCACCAGCTAAGTGAGGTTCCCGCCAGGCTATGCAGTGGAGCGCCGCACAGCGCGCCTTCCAGCCTCCTAGCCGCCGCCCAAGCAGTTCCTACCCAACGCTAGCAGACCTGCTCGGTCGATCTTCGAGACGAAGATGCGGCGGGGGTGGAAGATGGCTCTGTCTGGGGGGCTGCGGTGCTGCCGCCGGGTACTGTCCTGGGTGCCAGTGCTCGTTATTGTCCTCGTCGTGCTCTGGTCCTACTATGCGTACGTCTTTGAACTCTGCCTGGGTAAGTGGGGCTGGGCACCTAAGGTGGGGAAATTATGCTCCAGCATAATCGTCTGCCCTACCCTTCATACTGGTGTCCCTGTGTTCTCAGCCCTCACTCTGCTGTTTTTTTGCTGCCTCTCCTCAACCTCTGGCTTTCCACAGTATCTCTTACGCCAGCCCATGAGAGTCCCACCAGGTCGCGATCGTCTCCCACCTAGGATTTTTTATCTCTGCCCTAGCCACAGTAATTTCCAGGTTCTTACGTAGGGCCCTCTTTTCTCCTGTAGGACAACTACTTGCGCCTGATGCTCTCCTCTTAGGGGTCCCATATTACCCATTTGAGGAAACCACATACCCAGTGTCCTTAAACTGCTCACACTATGATTCCCACCCATGCACCAATTGGGAACCCCACCATTTTTCCTCCTACTAGAATCCTACTAGGATTCTGTACTAGGGATTGATTTCCTGTTAAGAATCCAAACGTATTTCCTGACTCCCTTCTAGCTGTCTTTTTTTCCCCGTTCAGATCCGTCCTTCTGCACTCCTGTCACCCTGGTTGAAGTGCTTCATGTCTTCACTCACTGTGACTCCCTCACAGTACACTCTGTTCTAAACCACTGAGGTCTCTCCCTTTTACATGAGTATAAGTCTCCCATTCTCTTTCTGCCTGGCTCCCCCTTTCTGAAGCTACTCTGATGGGATGAGGTTTCTGCACAAAATTCTCCCCTGTCACACTACAGCCCCTGATTTTATCACACTGAGATTACTTTAAGTCTCCTCTTGCCTTTGTGCTTGAGGAGTGGCCAGTATCTTCCCATTAGGGGCCCCACATTATTTTCTGACTCTTCATTTAGGTATCCTGCTTTTCTCACATGATGGTCCTGCCTTATCACCCATCTTTTCACACTAGAGTGTTCTCCTTATGCTCCGGGACGTGTTCCTACAATTTCTGTTCTACCCTCTAAAAGGCTACTACTTGTCTACTCACGATTCCTCCTTGATATCTTTTCTGAGAATCCCATTCCCCACTTCCTGTAGTCCTTTTCCACTGTTAACACCACATTCTGTCATCCTCTTCCTTCCTCTAGGATTGCACTTGCCCCAGTCTTCTCAAAGTGAGGAAACCTCTCCCTCTCCTGTCGAAGTTTCTAGTATTTTCTATTCCTGCAAGTGGGAGTTTCAATTCTTGTTCCTTCTCATTAGGCCACCCCTCTTATGCCTCTTGTACCCTCACCTATCATGCTAGGATGCACTCCATCCCCTTCTTATTTGAAACATGGCTTCTATGGTATACCTTGTACTTTCAAATTCAGAGTTATATAGTACTTCTCAACACAAACCCGCTTAGTCCCTCCCTTACATATTCCCACTTACATCTCCCCGGTCCTCTACCCTTATTACTAATGGCCTTCAATAGTTTTCATTTTATATCCTGTCTCCTCACAACAAAGCTCCTGCTGTTTTCACTGAGAAATTTCCCATAGCCCCTGTCTTTTCACATTTAGGAAACCCATCTCCTCTCAAAAGAGATACCAGTAATGTTTATTGTCTCTTCAACACTAGAATCCCATTACCAGCACTTTAAAACTTGTATCTACAGTGCTCCCTGTCCATTTTGCGTGGGGTTCCTATTCCCATCATATTATAGTTACCACTTGCCCCATGGAACATCTTCTCAAACCCAAGCATTACTAACACTCTTTTTTTTTTTTCATCAAATCAAAACTTCTCATCTTATAAACTATGGCTAAGGTGCTGCTTTTTTTTTCCAATCCCAGGACCTGACTCTACTTACAACCACCTCCTCTTATGTATTAGAGAAAATAGTATTCCACCCTCCGTAGACTGGGATGAATTGGGAGAGAAAACACATGACCCTTTTTTTCTAATACAGAACTTGAAGAAAGCTATTCTAATCAACTTTATACATTAAATCAGATTTTCATTTTTCTCACCTTCTTAGAAATACTATAGAAAATGTAGAAAGATCTCCTAAAATAAATTTAATTGGTTGCCTTCATAGATACATATTTAAGTTGATTTCCCTTTTTTCTCAATCTGGTATTAAGGATCATTAAGCAGAGTATGTAATGACCCGGAAATTTTCCTATTCTCAGACTCTTGGCATTGTTGAATGATTGATTAAAAGGTCAAAAGTTTAGCTCCAGTATTATAGTATGGACGTTTCTCTTAGGATCAAGCTATACTGTAAGCACAATTAAGCATTCTGAAGTTCTTTGGTACTGACTCACAGCTTCTCCAATAAATATCTTTTCCTAAATCAGTAATGATAATGTGTAACTCTTATATAGTGCTTATCTATGACAGAAAATATTGTAAGTACTATAAATATGGTAACTTCATATCAACTCATTAAATTCTCACAACTATATGAGGCAGATGTAATTGCTGTCCCTCGATGCAGATGCATAAACTGAGGCACAGATGAGCAAAATAAGGTAAAGACCAAGTTAGAATCAGTGCAAATAGATTCCTATAAGTTCTTACTTTGTTATCTAATATTAAATGCTGAAAGAAAACAGCATTTATTTTGTTTTATTTCTATACTTACACAATACTTGCTACATAGCAGTTACTGTTTCTAAGTGACTGCATACTCACATGCACACACACACACACACAATTTAATCCTCTTAAAAACCTTGTGAGGTTCATGACATCATTATTTCAAGCTTCCAAAGAAGTAAACTGTGGAATGGGTAGATTAAGTTATTTATCTAAGGTCACAAAGCCAGTAAGTAGCCAAACTTGGATGGCAACACAGTCATATGGCTCTGTAGCCCCTAGTCTTAACCACCATACTACCTTAATATCCTGCCTCCTCTTAACTAATACAGAGGTCAAACCTTGCGACTCACAGGCTGAGAAAAACCTGCAGATGTATTTTATTTGGCCTACACAGTGTTTTCTCAATGTTTTGCATCAGTTACCATTATTTCAAAATCAAGATAAGCTGGGCACTGTCATCCACATGTGTAGCCCTAGCATCTGAGAGGGTCAGGCAGGAGGATCACTTGAACCCAGGAATTGGAGGCCAGTCTGAGCAACAGAATGAGACCCTGTTTCAGAAAAAAATCAAGAGAATAAGGCAGCCTTAATTTTCACTTCTTGCTCCAAATTTCCATCCTGCCACCTTCATTTTATAATTCTTTTAAAAATGAGCAACCTGGATTTTTAGAAAAGTCAAGGCAATTTTTCCTAAAGTCACAAGTTTAACAGAGTAGAGATTTGGAAGGCAATGCTGTCTGATATGAAGACCATATCTTTTCCAATGCAGCCTCAGTAACAGATTAGAGTTTCAAGGTGATTCAAAAGGTAATATTAAAAGAACTAACTTCTTTCTCAGGTTAAACCCTAATGGCATTTTCCCTTTGTATAAGCATACAGCTAAAATCCAAAGTGATTTTTATGGTAATTCATAGAGTTTGAATTGTTCCAGTTACTAGGTAGTAGACCTGGGACAACTTAAGTAATCTCTCAACTTGAGTTGCCTCATATATTCCTTGCTTACAGATTGTTTATTCATGCCACAAATAATTTGCTCTGTATCTACTATATGACAAGTATTGCTATTGTGAGGTTTAAATAATATGGTGCCTGAAAAGCATGAATCATAGTTCATAGCACATTGTAACTGCTCATTAGATAAAGGTTATTTATTATTAATAAGAATAAAGTGGATTCTACTTTACACAGGAAAATAAGAGATTTAAACTTTGAGAGGAGGAAAGTAACAGTATCTATTTTATTTAGGTAAAGTTTGTATAACATAAAATTAACCGTTTTGATTTCACTTCAGTGTCATTTAGTACATTCACAATGCTGTGCAACCATTACTTCTGTATAGTTCATAACATTCTAATGACCCCAAAAGGAAACTTCATAAGCATTAATCAGTCACGTGTTATTTCTTTCTACCCTCCTTTCTCCTCCCAGTGAACCATTAAGCTACTTTCTGTCTCTGATGTTTCATGTAAATAGTGTCATATACTATTTGTCCCTTTGTGACCAGCTTCTTTCAGTTAGAATAATGTTTTCAAGACCTATTCATACTGTAGCATGCGATAGAAATTCTCTCTTCTTTCTCATTTCATTTTAATTTATTGGTACATGTTTGTAATTCATGTAGTTTACAATCATCTTGGGGAATGGTTATGTGTACATATTACAGCTTGTTTTTAATCCCCTCTCCTTCTCCTCCTCTCCTCTCCTCTCCTCTCTTCACTCAATCACTTATTTGTACATTTTGATACTATTTGTCTTGAACATGTCATGGCGTATAATCTTCACATCCATTAGGGTTATTAGGTTCCTGTACATGGCATATCTTTATTCCTCTTGTTTCCCCTTCCCCTGCAACTTCTATGTTTCCTTGTTCCATTGGTCCATTTCCCTATTGGACAAGATTTATCCCCTTTTCTACCCATCTTTTATCCTTTTCTTTGTTTATACTTTGCTTCATTCAAATGAGGGATACCATATGATATTCATGCTTGTATATCTAATTTATTTCACTCAATATTATGTTTTCCAGGTGCATCCATTTTCCTACAAATGCCTCAAATTTGTCATTTTTTATAGCCAAGTAATATTCCATTATATATAAATACCTCATTTTGTTTACCCATTCACCTTTTGATGAGTGTACAAGCTGCTTCCAGAATTTAGTTATCTATTATGAATTGTGCTGCTATAAACATTGGTATTCAAGTATTCCTGCAGTATGACAACTTAAGATCTTTGGGGAAGATACCTAGCAGGGGGATAGCTGGTTCATATGGAATTCCTAATTTCAATCCTTTGAGAAATTGCCATACTGATTTCCATCATGATTGTACTGGTTTGCATCCCTACCAGCAATGTAGGACAGTACCTTTTTGGCCAAAGCTGCACCAGCATTTGTCACTGTTTGATAGCCTAGTAATTGCCATTCTTTCTGGAGTAAGATGAAATCTTAGCATCGCTTTAATTTGTATTTCTCTAATAGCCAGAAAT